AAATGATAGCCCTAATTGAAGTTAATGTGAGTTAAGTGAGGTTCTGCTTTTACTAGCACAAGAACTGTACCTTGACTTCACTGGGGCTAAGTTTACATATTAAGAATATGTTAATTAGCAAGTGTTACAGAGCAAGACAAATCTCCGGGGGTAGGAATTTTCTCCTTGGTATTTGGTTGCATGCTGAGTAACATAATGGCCTGACCTGTGCTAGGGGTCTTAGGTGGTACAATAGTAGGAAAAAAGATCGTAATTTGATTTCTGTACTATATTTTTAATAATAATTTTAATCCTTCATTTTGTGAAAAGCTTTACAGCAAAGAAAAAGACCTCATAGTAGAAATGGATTGCAGATGTTCTGCTCAGCTAGCTTCACAGAAAATTGCAAACTTCCCAGATAAACTATAGCACTGCAAGGAAAGGTACACTTCCACTCCTCTCCAGTTCTTTTCAGATCAATGAGGTGGAATTATGGTGTCTACAAGTGCCACAAATTCTGCCATTTCTTAATAACTTTACATTCTAAATGTAAATTTAGAATTAATTACAATAAATTAACTTTATATGTAAAGTTGTTAAGTCTTGGCAGCATTTTTTTTTCTGCCCACATTTTATTTTAAGTTATGATGAATACTAAATGGATAGGTAAGACTCCACATCGAAATACATGGACAGCAGAAAATTATGCTTATATACCTAGATATTAAGCCATCCACTCTACTCAGTATATATCTGTATATAGATAATGACTTGTTTTAGGCATAAGCTAAACTGTAAGAACCGTAATTTTTCTTTTCATGTTTCAAAGACTTGTATCATAGAATCATAGAATCATAGAATCATTAAGGTTGGAAGAGACCTCCAAGATCATCGAGTCCAACCGTCAACCCAACAACACCAGGCCCAATAAACCATGTCCCTAAGAGTCTCATCTACACGTCTTTTAAATACTTCCAGGGATGGGGACTCAACCACTTCCCTGGGCAGCCTGTTCCAATGTTTAACTACTCTTTCAGTAAAGAAATTTTTCCTCACATCCAATCTAAACCTCCCTTGGCGCAACTTCAGGCCATTTCCTCTCATCCTTTCGCCAGTTACTTGGGAGAAGAGACCAACACCCACCTCGCTACAGCCTCCTTTCAGGTAGTTGTAGAGAGCAATGAGGTCTCCCCTCAGCCTCCTTTTCTCCAGGCTAAACAACCCCAGCTCCCTCAGCCGCTCCTCATAAGACTTGTTCTCCAGACCCCTCACCAGCCTCGTTGCCCTTCTCTGGACACGCTCCAACATCTCAACGTCCTTCTTGTAGTGAGGGGCCCAAAACTGAACACAGTATTTGAGGTGCGGCCTCACCAATGCCGAGTACAGGGGCACGATCACTTCCCTAAAGTATGTATACTTCTATCTCTGTAACAACCTTTAAAACTTTGTATGAAAGTGCTGGATAACATACGAAACCTTTGCTCAGTAAGGATGAGTCTACATTAATATTGCAGTCTCAGAAGCACAATTGTGAATCAAAACTTTCAATCATTTCCATTTACTGCACTTAGGTTCATATTGTACAGAGGTCCCAGAGCACATCAACAAGATTCTCATATTCAGATGAAACTAAACTAGAAGATGCACTCCTGAAACACACCTAATTTTCCCCAGCTGCTAAAGAGCATTCAGCGTACTGGAACAGACTAAAAAAGCACGGCTGGGGTAAAGCTCAAGCCTCCAGACTCTTCCCTTTCTACCTCTGCATATGCATGCAGTATGGATGTTGGGTCTTTAGCCCCAGATTCATTGCTCTGCAGATCCACTCCTGCTGGGGCAACACTATCTTAATATAGCCACTGTTTAGAAGATCAGAAATGATATTTGCAAGTTCAGTTAACCCTTTTGTAATGCTTAGTATGTCAGCTTCTGCAGCTAATCTCTCAACACCTCAAGTACTTAATTTCCTGCCTTTATGAGCTTGAATTCATTATTTTTTGTACTTAATGTAATAAATTTGACAAACACAAGGCTCAGGAAGGTTCGGTAAGTAATTAACATCAGACCGGGACTGTGTGCAATCATATTGTAATAGAAAACAAGTCTACTGGTATACATCATGATAAAAATAAAGCCAATTTAAAAAAAAAAAAAAAGACTCATAAAAAGGTGGTAAAAAAATCAATACTATTCTAAGTATTTCTCTCCTGGTGTTTCTTGACTTTAAGAAAGTCTTTAAGAAAGTCTTTAAGAAAACGATGCTTAATAAATAAAGTAAATAAATAAAATCTTTGGGAGCGTGTTGCTTCTACTTCAGAACTACTGTCATGTTAATATCCTCTTTGACCCTAACATACAGCCTGATTTTAAAAGACAAGACCATTTCTCTATAGTTAGTATTTCTTTTCTGTATTGTACATTTGCAAGGTAGTGAAACTTCCAGTGATGTTAATGGATTACCTGATAATGCAGTAGATAAGAGGGAAGCTTATTTACAAAGAAGTAGCTGTAAGAATATCGTTAATAAATAGAGGGATATACATTTCCCAACAATCTTTTCTAGCATTGTTAGGTTTAACTTGGAATTTTAGCACATAAAACACATCCATACAACATATACGACTTTGGGGTCTTCTTTACAGAACTTTAATTTTGTTTCATGCAGGATTTTCCTTTAAATAAAGAAATTACAGAATTATTTCCAAAACTAACAAAGAAATACATTGTGCAAAAACTCATAAGCAATCAAAATATATTTTTCTAAACAATCAATCTTTCTGCTCTGTAACAGCACCACTAATCAGCTTGTGATCACAGAGCTCTCAGTGAGGTATTATTGTCTCTTACCCGGAGTTTGAAAATTAAGGCGTCGCAGCTCCACTGGGTCTGTGGGATGGTGAGAGGGGACCTCCTTGCTGTTGGGTATGCTGCTCTTTCTAGAATCAGATTCAGCCCTCTTCCTGCATAGAGAAGGTGAATACACATAAATATAAGATCGAGGTGTTAGCTTGACAAATAAAGGTGCCTGAGTGTTAATCATTATATTCTAAAGGTGAGATGCTTATTTCTGAAAGAGTATTTGATCCAGTGCAAAGGTAAAATAATTATGCATGATAGGTACGGCAGCTACAATTTGCAATGGTAAATTGAATCTAAATACAGTAATGTCAGAGGGAAAATAACTGCATTCTGCTCTAGACTGATCCTCTAGATCATCATTCTGGGCACCTGAATAGTTAACTATTATAAGATATAACATGAAACTTACAAAAACTCACACTCTCTCTCTTTTAAAAGCTAGCTACCTATACCTTTATGAAAAAGTAGCCAACTCTTGAGCACGTAATTAAAAAAAAACATGCCAAGTTATTATCATTAAATACTTCATATTTTATACGCACAGCTCTGCATTGCTTATAAAAAATAACCTGCATTCTTCAGGTACTTTCAATATGACAGAGAACAGAACAGAAGACACCTATCCCAGAAGACACCTATTCTTTTCACTTTCTAGGAAGAATCTGCTCTGTTGCCTCTCATCTTTGTAAAAGCTGCATTACACAATCTTCATGTATCTGATCACACCTACATATTCAAGGCTCAGATTCTATGTGAATGTTTCTGATCAAATTAAGACTTTCACTGGAATTATAAGAGGCGGGGTTCAGGAGGGGAGAGAGGGAGAGAGAGGGAGGAAAGAGGGAGGGAGGAAAGAGGGGGGACGGAGCGAGGGAGGGAGGGGGATAGACTGGTGTATGCTTCCCTTTCTCTAGAGAGAAGCAGACTCCACGTGTGTTCTGACTCTGACTGTTCTGGTAAAATGGACTCCTATCATTTGAGAGTATCATCTTCTGATGCAAAACATGGAGGACTATGCTACATGAAGAATATCTACCACTCTGCATTTTCATTCAGGAATCTGGAAATTTATTGCTTTAATTTGAAGCGGAATCCTTCTTCACTAGTCCTCTCTGAGCTCCTGAATGAAAATGCAAACTGGTTTATATTCTTCATGTAATACAAAATGAAGATGCAAACAGCAGCAAAAAAGTTACTTTGCAAAAACAGAACTGGGATGATTTTAAGGTTTATGATAGCAAAGTCTTTTCCAGGTGTCCGATATTTGCTCTAACTTACCACTATTTTTGGGGGTTTTTTTCTTTCTTTTTTTCTAATTGACTCACAATGTGACAATGCTAAATCTGTTATTATTCTGCTGGACTCCCCTCTTAAAAATGCTCCAATTGATTTCTTGCTGTTCTTGAAATGATGAACACCTGGTGGCATTCATGGAAGGTGCATACAGCAAGATTTCAAAGACTATGCAAAGAAGCCAAACAGCAACATCATTGTAGGAATTATTTGAAAGTTACTAGTCCTATGATTTTATGGGGGGAAAAAAAAAAGTGTTTTGCTGTAAAAACATTCCATCTGTTCTCTGGTAAATACCTTAACACATGTATTAACTTCTCTTCAGTGAAGTGATGAAGATTTAAATCTGATTCTTCTGTTTTTACTCTTTTTAAAAAAAAATTATTATGGAGAAACTCAGTTGAAAGTCCTTTCTTACTTTTGATTCTGACTGTCTCAAACTCCTACCACAGTAGCACAGTGCCCTAGTGTTCTTTCTTCTTAAGTAAAGGTGTGTGATGCAGCTTTCAAGAAGTATTTTTATCTGTATTTCCTTCTCCTGAAGTCTAGGGATCAGTGTAACTGTCCAGAGACAAGCTTCATTTACCTTTTTTCCACTTGCAAGTCAGTACTGGGCAGCACAACTTCATATTAATCTAGTAATAGCACTAAAATCTCTTCTAATCATATATCTGAATATTTTGAATACTTACAGGAAAATAGAATGGTTTATTATTTTCTATTATTCTCAGGATCATTCTGGCTTTTTTGCATCTTTCCAGATTATACAAGACATCACAATTCTTTCAGATTATGCAATGGTTTTGAGACAGGTGGAAAAAATCCACAAAGACAAATGAGATCACCATATCATTTTCACTTGTAGAACTGTAAGTCAGCACTGATTCTATCTGTATGGAGCTGTATGGAGATTTAGAGCAGCTAACACTTCAACCACAACCATGCATTCCTTCAACAGCTTTGGTTATAGCAAAGAACCACTGTTCTAACGTAATTAAAACACAAATAAAACCATATGTACATTGTATAGGTGTGCTGTCTCTTGAAAATGTACCTCATGGAGACACAAAAAAAAGCAGTGAAACTTGGCTGCATACGTTACATTACTTTTCAGTGCTGTAAACAATGTAACAGATCTTTCAGTTGCCTTCATATCAATAGATTACTGGCTACGTTCACTCAGATTGACAGACGCTTTGTCTTAGATCATTATCATGATAACTTTTTTTTTCTCCTTTTCTGGATTAAACGAAGAGTGATTACTTTTCACTTCTCACCTGTCAGGTTTACTGCTCCATTTTAATGCAGCAAAGAGGGGAGAAAAGGTGAAATGTTAGTTGACCAGCAGCAAACAGGGTAAGCACGACAACAGGAGATGTAAGAAATGTTGACTTACAGTAAAGCTATGTAACTAAACCAAATTAAGAAATGACAGTTCATCAGAATACTTAATGATAACAGAGATAATGGAGAACGGGTTTTTAATGTGAGCTATCAAAGTAATGTTAACATTACATTGACAAATGACTTCTCACTAAGATGTAGTTCCCTCTTACATTCTAGAGAGAAGAGAGATGAGGGAGGAGAGGAAAGATGAAAGTGGAGGGCAGAGGAGAAAGGGAAGGAGAGCGAGGGAGGAGAGGGAGAGAAAGGCAAGCAAAGAACGAGACTGAATACAGCAGATATACGAGTTGTATTAATTTTTTTTTTTTTTAAAGAAAACTTGAAAACTATTTTACAAAACCAGGTAATAAAATGGCAAGAAATTTTTAACAGTACCCTGGAAAGTAAGGTAAGCATAAATCTTTCCCCAATCAAGTATTACACACCTTTTTAGGTTCAGAAGGAATGTCACATACTTCAGGTCTAGTGATCTATATAGACCTGTAGTGATCCGTGATGTATAAAGAACAGCTAAACAGGGAAAATTATTTATCTCCCACCAACAGGTTCTACTATACACACAGTATTTGTCTATCCTTCTGTCTGTCTGTTGATCATAATAAATAGGGATTCTATAAACTTTTAATAGCCTGGAGTCTGCAATGACCAGATTACTCACATATTATGAAAAAGCCTTTATAGAACCCTTCATCATCACTTAAGATTCCCCCATTTTCATTTCTGTCCTTTTTTAACATCTGTTTTTTCCCTTAGAAGCATATTTCTTCTTATAGCTCAAGATTCAGCAGGTGGCCGGCAGGTCGAGGGAAGTGATTCTGCCCCTCTACTCTGCTCTGGTGAGACCCCACCTGGAGTACTGCGTCCAGCTCTGGAGCCTTCAGCACAAGAAAGACACAGACCTGTTGGAGCAGGTCCAGAAGAGGGCCACGAAAATGATCAGGGGGATGGAACACCTCTCCTGTGAAGAAAGACTGAGAGAGTTGGGGTTGTTCAGCCTAGAGAAGAGGAGGCTTCGGGGAGACCTTATTGCAGCCTATCAGTACTTAAAGGGGGCTTATAAGAAAGATGGGGACAGACATTTTAGTAGGGCCTGTAGTGACAGGACAAGGGGTGATGGTTTTAAACTGAAAGAGGGTAGATTCAGACCGGATATAAGGAAGAAATATTTTATGATGATGGTGGTCAAGCACTGGAACAGGTTGCCCAGAGAGGTGGTAGATTCCCCATCCCTGGAAACATTCAAGGTCAGGTTGGACAGGGCTTTACGCAACTTGATCTAGTGGAAGCTGTCCCTGCTCATTGCAGGGTGGTTGGACTAGGTGACCTTTAAAGGTCCCTTCCAGCCCAAACTATTCTATGATTCTACGATTCAGAGTACCAAAGTTCACTATGTTCAAAAGATTCAAACTTAGGCTCCTGTCTTCTGAACCAAATCAAAAAGCTGCACTTTATAAGAGCAAACAACACAAAGTCTGTCAAAATGGCTTTCATTTCTTTT